TCTGTTGCAAAGGTCTACAATTTTGCCAGTCAAATATTCAAAATCATGTTTCATGTCTGCTTTTGACAGTGGAGCTCACAGATATTTAAAACCAAAGAGAAGGTAAAGTGTTTGCCATATCTCAGTTTTGGCCACAAGACAATGTGTTTAACTCTATGTGCATGTGCAGAAACAATCCTGAGGAACTTCCCTCTGCATAACAACTAATTGAAACATGGAACAAAGTTGGGATCACTTGATTTTTGTAAGGCAACCCTGATGTTAAGGCAGGTGAGATCAGAGTTATTCATCTGAATGGCATGCCTGGCCCTTTGAACTGAAATCTAACTGATACACATCGTCACACATCACAGCTCTGTGAGGAAGATCTGACTCTGGATTCAACTTTCACAGTGTTCAAGATAATTACATGGTTTAAAAATAAATCATCTCAAATACATGCACACACTAGGACATGATTACAGAGTGTCCTCACTGTGCACAGCATGTTGAGGACCTGCCTTGACTGTTCTGTACAGGAGTGTAGCCCAGTGGGGACTATGCTGAAATCAATGGAGCTGCACCTGCCAAAAACACTATTCCAGCTCTATTTACTGATTTGCTGGCTCAATACCACTCCTCTGGAAGCCACCTGGGCTGTTCCTATTTGATGCTAATGGTTGTTGCTGGGCATATAGAGATCCAATATCCCGAGCTCTACCCTACTTTCATTGACGTCAGTGGTAGAATTCCCATTGATTTCAGCAGGAGCAGAAATAGCAGCCACAGTCCTTCACATCAGAGTGCTCCATATTGAGGGAGGGATGGTCACAGGGGGTACAGCTGTCTTTGAGAGGCTTTCTGAAAATGCTACATGAGCCTGAAGTGGGAGAAGCAGCAGGGAACACAACTAAAACCTTATACTCAAGGGCTTTTTACTTCACACTGTTGAATCACCTACCTACTCCCTGCCTTATCCTGCCCACCACTCGTTTTGCTTTTAGCTCTTCCAAAGAGTAGACCTGGGGTGCAAAGAAATGAGATGTGTAAAAAAGGAACCTTTAATATACACCTGACTCACACTTCTGACAGTTTAGAATCCTTGTCTTAAATGGCTTCAAGAAAGGATCTAGAGATTCCTGCTCTGCCTGCTTCCCAAGCTGTCAGTGCAGCCTGCTCTGGCCCAGAAGCCATGTAGTTTCCTCCTAGCAAAGCGTGAGCCTAAGCAGAGTCCATGAGGTAATGCCTGGGGACTCATCAGTGTCACCAGATTGTTGCTAGAACAAACCTGCCACATCTCAGTCTAGCCCAGACATGAGCAGAGTCACCTATGAGGCAGGAATGCCACAGGAATTGTCCCTGCTCCAAGGAACTGGGCACCTACAGGCAGCCTTCCAAGATTTGAATTTAAGTTGGCAAACAAAAAGGCAGGAAGGGAAAAGACAAATGTTCATCAACCATCACACTGATCTAGAGGTAAAGCTAGAAACAACTTCTTCCAGGTCCCAAACTGGTAAAAGACACCAAGGAAAGGTTCTTGGATAAAGCAGTGCTGAAAAGCCGGGCAGCAGCAACACTGTTTCCAAACTAGTGGCAGCTCATGAACAGCCAGGCTGCAGAAGGCTAAAGCTGGTCTGTATGCAGAGGAACTGCTAAATACCTTAAAATAACCTGCTGCTTCCAATGAGTTTTAATTTGATCCCATTAGCTGTGTAACATATATAAAAATGCACTTTACCACTACATTCATTTGGCCACTTAGCTCCTGCCTAACTGAAGTTATCAACCATTTCAGCAAATCATTTTTCTCTTTTCTTGATTAGAAAATTAATTCAAAGTTAATCAGAAGCATATTGCATGTTAATTAGCTAAAACAGGGAATCACAGCTTAATCAAGCAAAATTGAATTCTCTCCTTTTAGTGCAAGTGAAGAGATTAGAGGTGGTGATGCATTGAGGGAGACAGATATAACCAAATACAAACTGACTTTGTGACAGCTTCTCCAGAAAATCTGTAAATAATCCCACACTATAGATTCCAGGGGGGAAAATATTCTTCCCATTTTTCACGTTGCTGTAAAAACATTTCCATACATCCCAAACTACTTCAGAATCAGGAAAGCTGCAAATGGACCCAACAGTGCAACTTAAGAGATAAATAAAGGCCTGAAATTCACTACTCATGTTAAACTGTAAGAGAAAGTAAAAATCCATCCCGCCCAAAACATTAAGTATTCAATTGAGATGAGCAATCCTTTAAAAGTAACTACTGTCACATCTTTAATTTCTTTCTGGAATTCTGATTGATTCACTACATCTCAGCTATATAATGAACAATAGATTGTCTTGCCTGTAGTGCTGCCAGAGTCATAGTTTTCTTTGTAGCTTTGGCATTTTTTCCTCCAGCTGAGCCACTTGATCCCGATAAGGTATCAAACACTCCATCAATGTCAGTCTGCTCCTCAGGAAGAAATCTGGAAAGGTGATTGTGATAGGCATTGCTTTCTGCATTTCCCATCTTTTCAACCTGAAGCAAAGGAAAAAGAATTAAAAAAAAAAAAAATTAAACACAGAAAGGTATCACAAGGGCCATGGAAGACATATCAAACTGACTAACATACCAGTGCAAGTTTAACAAGAAAAGCAAATTACTACCCTTCCAGGAAATTACTAAAACTAGTGTTTAGTCTCTGCATTCACTGAGACTTAATGAATTTGGAGAACATCTGTAACTGTGCTTTAAAAATTGACAATCTGACAGCTCTTTGCTAAAACCCCCCGTCCACCAATGCAAACATCATTCAAGTCTCTATCAAATGGAAAAACCAATATGATCTAATGGTTAAATTAGCTTATACAAAGTGACCATGAGTCTAACAGCTGCAATACAGCCCTAACATGAAGGAAAAAGCCTGATTATGGATTATTTATGACAGATTATGCTACATCATTCTGATGCATTAATGGACTGAAGCTATGCCTGCCAATATGATGTGGCACTAAAACACCGTCAGGGAAAAGCCTCTGAAAATGACGAGAATGTTTTTTCCTAAGGACACAATACAAAAATATTTTGAAACAAAGTAACAAAAACATTTAGGAACAACGCAAGACCCATTAAAAACACACAGGTTTATGTGAAGTCAATAAATCATTGAGAGTTGGTACCCACAGAATTAAGGTTGGCCGGGCGGGGGGGGGGTTGGTTTGGGGTTTCCTCGTTTGCTTGTTTTACACGTTTAATGGTACAACTACGATTTCTCTCGCTGTCCCAGGATTCACCTGCACTGGGGTAGATACATGTCTGGGGTAGACATGTCTGGGGTAGACGCATGTCTGGGCTGACATTAAAAAGAAGGTAAGACGTGGAATAAAACATCCTTTTGTAGTTTTCTTTCTGTAATTTCCATGTCCTTCCTGACACCTCTTTTTCGGTTTGTGATTCCCAGTTCCACGGGAATCTCTTTTTGCAGACAAGGCCATCACACAGCCCTTCAGCCTCCCCAGAAGGACACAGTGTTGAGCCTAATGCAGTATTTTTATTGCTAACTGCTGAGTTGTTTACCGCACACAAGAGGCGGGGTCGGGCAGCCTCACCTTCAGGCCTAAAGCCCTGTTTGCCTGCGAGGAAAATTTCGATCGTGGGGTAAACCCCGAAGAGTGAATGGAAACCACCGTGACTGTGGCGACACGATTAATTTAAAGCAGCGAACCGCTGGAGAACGAGGGTACTCGAAAGGTTCATTTCCCGCTGTGCTCAGCCCGTCCCTCCCCGCCCGGCGGGGCAGCCCTGGTATGTGCGTGTGTGTATGTGTGTGTGTGTGTGTATGTCTGTATGTGTGCGTCCGACCCCCTCCCGGTGACAAGGCAGCCCTGAGGCGAGCCCCCCACCCTGACAGACCTCCCCGCTTACCGGCAGGGCTCCCCCGGCCCCTCTCCGCCCCCGGGACCGTCACACAGAGCCCGGCGCCATCCGGCGCCTCAGCCCGCCCGGCCGGGGCGGAGCGCGGCCGATGGAGCCGCCCCTGAGGCGGCGGGGAGGGAGGGACGGACGGGAAGGATGGAGGAAGGCAGGGAAGGGAGGGACCGGGACAGCGGGGATTTCGGCACCCCGAGCCCCAGGGGAGAGGCGGGCGGTGCCGCAGCCCGCTGTGCAGGGCGGTGAGGAGGCGGCCTGAGAGCTCCGGAGACCGGCGAGACCGCGGCGGCCCCTTCTCCCTGAGGACATGCTTCGCCTTCAGGGGATCCTCCTCCCTGAGGGGACTCCCTCCCTTCTTCGAGGGAAATCTCCCTGACCCTCTTTCCTGAGACAGCCTTTCTCCCCGGGGAGACCCTTCTCCCTGAGGGGACCAATCCTCTCTGAGGAGACCCTTCTCCCTGAAGGAACCCTTCTTCCTGAGGTGTTTCTTCTTGTCCCTGGGGGGACCCTTTCTCCAAAAGAGACCCTTTTCTCTGAGAGGACCCTTCTCCTCGAGAGGACTCTCCTTTTTGAGGGAACCCTCCTCCCTGAAAGACCCTTCTCCCTGAGGGAATCATCCTCCTGAGGGGACCCTTTGCCCTGAGGGGACCCTCCTTTTTGAAGTGACCCTTCTCTCTGAGGGGAACCCTCCTCCCTGAGGCGTTTCTTGTCCCTGAGGGGACCTTTTACCCTACAGAGACCCTCCTTTTTGAGGGAACTCTGCTCCCTTAGGAGACCCTTTTCCCTGAGGAGACCCTTCTCCCTGAGCCACCCTGCCCCTAAAACGTTTTTCAAAAATAAAAGTAAAAATTCAGAGCTGTAGCCGAGGCAGAGCGACCACCCCCAGCAGCCTCTATCAGAGCTGAGGTGCCGGGATGGCCTGTGCTGAGGCATTTTAAAAATCATCCCAAAAATTATGCCCGGAAGATCTGTGGCAGAAGGTGCTGCCAGCCCTGATCTGTGCTGGAAACAGCTCTTGGCTTTTGGGAAGGAAAAGGCTGTGTAATGTACACATACACACACACACACAAACAAACACACACAAACAAACAAACACACACACACAAACAAACACACACACAAACAAACACACACACAAACAAACACACACAAACAAACACACACACACACAAACAAACACACACACAAACACACACACACACTTTCATTTTCAGGGTAAACAGTCAGGGGCCGGTGAATTTCAATGTCAATGGGGAGCTGAGGGAAAACACAACAATTTCTCAATTAATAGGTTAAACTTCTATCTCCTGACTGGTAAAATCAGCCTTGATTACCTTGAGACTGAGGGGTAAAAAGGCTGTACAAGGGCTGAGGGACCAGTGCAAGGTCACAGGGATTGTGCTTAGAAATCAGCCCTGCACTTCAGTCAGATGCGAATACCTGTGAGAAAAATTAAAACTTCAGTGGTCGAAAACTGGTCCCAGAATTCACTTTTTTTTCAGGTTAACTATTTTCTATCTCAGCAGCCTTCTCCTTGTACTTTCAACCACAGGGTTTGGCTCCTGTAACACACCAAGGCCTTTGCCTTCATAGCAGTGACACCTCAATCAACTGTGCTTTGTCTGACTCCAAGCTCAGCGTGAAGACTCCTTCTCCTTCCAGCCAGGGGGAAGATGTGCAGATTCCCACAAAGCTGGTGCTGTGTGAGTTCCTGTAACCAAATTGAACAGGTTTGGAATTTAACTTTTAATTATAGTCTGATCAGTGTGCTTTCAATAGAAATCTTCTATGTTCCTTTATATGGAAGGAAAATAAATAAAAAAAAAATGTTGTCCATAGAAGTTATTAATGCCCCATCCCTGGAAGTTTTCAAGGCCAGGTTGGACAGGGCTTGGAGCAACCTGGTCTAGTGGAGGATGGCCCTGCCCATGGCAGGGGGTTTGAACAAGATGAGCTTTAAGGTCCCTCCCAACCAAAACCATTCTGTAATTCTATCTGTACTAGCCATGGAAGAGCTCCCCCTGTTTTATTCTTTTGTAAGAATGAGTAAAAATATTGATAAAGATAAGTTCTAAACATACCCGTTTTATTTGGGTTTGTTTTTTTTTTATCTTCATGGATGCAAAACTTCATAAAAACATGTAGAATATTCTTCTTGCTGCCAGATGAGAGTTAGAAACGCATTGACCAGAATTCCAAGGAGGCCACGTTTGAACCAGTGGATACAGATTTCGACTTGTTACAGTCACCACTAGAGGCACAGGAGTTACCCGGCTTGTATCAGCAGGGTGAGGACATGGCAAGTAAAAGTGAGGGAATTAATGGGATGTTCATGTAATGTGAGCACAGTTTGGGCTAGTGGAAGGTGTCCCTGCCCATGGCAGGGACGAAATGATGATTTTTAAGATCCCTTCCTACCCAAACCATTCTAGGATTCTATGAAATTCGGCGAAGTTCATCTGGAAACTGCTGGAGGCTTAATTGCCCACACGATGGCATCGCATGTTTAGAAAGTTCTCTGTGGAGCCTGCGCTGAGGGCTTCGACACTGCTGAAAGTGTGTTTAGATTCCCACGTTTATAGACAGCATTCGTATAGAACTAAAAGCTTAAATAACATATTTGTTTCATCCCTTTCCCGTTAACTCTGCAAACATAATACATGACCATGAGGACAAAACTCGTTTCTCGGTGAAAGTCCCTCCCTGGGCTGCAAAAGCAGGTCCTGGGAAAAGTCTGTTGAATGATTTCTATCAGTTTTAATGAACTTCCACTTGATGCCAAAGGAAAAAAAAATGAAACATACAATACAAGAAAAACAAAGTTTTCCCATTCAGGTTAACCTTTTTTTTTCTTTAATTTATTTTTAAAGGATAGTATTTCTGTGGACATAGTGTTTCACATAGAATTGTATGCTTTTAAATTTATAAGGGTTGTGTTTCATGCTGTAGCTGTGTCTGGAGGATCTCTTTCAGCCCAGAAATACAAGATTAGAGATTCTGGTCTAACCTACCTTGCCCCAAGACTGACTGACCAGTATCACCTTCACAAACATATGATGACTTCATGACCTTTTTCTCCAACTACTGAGCACAGAACCAGCCAAAGAGTACCTGGCCTGCCTTAGCTCCAAGCAGCCAGTTTTGCAAAGATAAGTTCTGCTTTAGCCTCTTTTGTTCAAGTCCCTGTGAACTGTGGGTTTATTTGCCTTGTCTGTCAATCTAAACGGAGCTTCCTGCTGCTACTGGATGGTGTTTTGTCACTGCCTGTGACAGTAGGCTGTAAACTGCAGGCTAGCTAACTCTTAAGGCCACAAGATACTCACACTAAATCAGCCAGATTATGCTCCTGCTGCGGGGGAATTTCCAGGTCACAAATTGACACCCTCTCATCGCCTTTTTGCACCAAGAGTGTATAAAGTCAAGTTAAAACCTGGTGCATAAGGGCAACAGTTTGCAGCACTCCTGAAATGAGTAGTCACTTCCTCATGTATATTCTCAGATACCCAGCAGAGCTAGTCAAGTGTCCCCAGCTTTGTTTCTGCCAGTAAGAAAGAGAGAATACACTAAGATGCCTTTTAAGGACATTCAGGAATATACTGGTGTATAAAAAAGAGGAAGAAAATGCAAGAGGGTTCTAAAAGCAATTGTGGCTAATTTTGTGAATTGCTGATAGACTTGTGTTTGTTTGCAGAGGGAAAAAAAACAAACCCACAAAACCCCAAACTGTTTTATTTAAAAGACTGTATATCTTTGACTTGCATAAAAGGAAGAAGTTTGGTTTTATTAGTTTGCCAAGACTACAGAAAATCTAAATGGCCTTAGTTCCAAATAATTCTCATATCAGTAAAGTCTCTCATTTCAAGCAAGTCTCCTTCAGTTAAAGGAAATGATTGCAAGGTAACAATGGAATGTAAATTATGAGCTGAGCAGCTGTGTCTTTATATCAAGCACTTCTGTTTTATTCAGATTGTCTTTTATTTCCTTTAAAATTATTTTTTCTCCTATCTTGAGTTAAAAGAGAGAAATTTTGCTGCTCCTCAGTTTTGCAGATGTGTGTTGAGGTTGTTACCCTCTCTGTCAGTGATGCAGAGAATCATTCTGATTCACCTTTGCACTGTGTTCTTATTGAAGGCCTGCTGAGAAAGGGACCCTGCTGTACCAAAGACTGTGCAGACAGAGAGACAGAGGATTCTGTTCCCAAGAGCTTATAATTAGCTACATTCACACTTACATTGAGCAGAACACCAGTCCTCTCAGCCACAGACATCAGAGAACTCCAAAAAATGGTGAGACCACATCAGTGGCATTTTTCAGCAGGGTATTTTGGGAGCATATTCACCTTTTGGAAAGGGGAGGTTGGGACTATACTTCTAAATAAGCCATTAGGTTTCAACACTCTATTGCAGGCTGTAGTCTAGATAAGGACTAGTGTAAATCACATGGAGGAAACACATTTGATACTTTTAACTTCCCAGTTATTACTCAGCATTTCAGTTATATTATATTGCAGAACTCTGGCCCTTGCAAAGAGGTCAAACGACCTCTTGAAAACAGGGGAGTTAAATTATAAAAGACCTTTGTGCATGTTTTAGGGTCCAGTGAACACAAAAGTCATTGCACCTCTTCCTAAGGCCATTTAGGCTCCGTGTTTCCTGTTTTGATGTAGATGATGTATTTTTACAAGCCATCTGCAGTCACAGTATGTGGAATCCTGCAAAAATATTGATATTTGATGAAACTAGTTGCAGGCCCAGCCCACTGATCATCTTCTAGTGTGGCCTCAGCATAGAATTCTTTTGACTTTAAAAGGTATAGTCCAAACCTTCCCCCTCATGTCCTTTTATATCCATGTTGTTCAGCTCTGCCTGTAATTGGCTGCTGGGACAGCTCTACCTTTGCAGCTACTTACCTGATTTGCCTTTGGGGTTCTGTGGCATTGCCATATTTGGGGAAAAGAAATGGTCTGACTCTCATAGAACTGTGTTCTTAGGCAGTCACAAAGGAAGTTCTGGGTTTTGCAAGGCTTTATACTTCCTTTTAGAAAAGCCTCTGCCTGCTAGTAACCAATTCCCATCTATAAAAGGAGAAAGAAACAGTGCAGTGAAGAGATGCATCTGATTATTGGGGGTTGGAATTAAATGACCTTTATGGTCCCCTCCAAACCTTTCCATGAGTCTTTGATTATGGGGAGAGATTATAATATGCAGCATCTTAGAAAATGTAGTTACAGATTGGATAAAAGCCTCCTGTCATAGCCTATTAGCTGAGAGGAAATGTGTTGTTGCCAAGATGCAGCTGCTACATTTACAGCAAAACTGCAATGCCTGACTTTACTAAACTAAATTGTAGCATGTCTTGTGTGCATATAGATCATAAACATTGCTCTGGGCTGTGGACTAGATCCTGGTGACTGGAAGAAGTGCACGACCCACAGTGAGGGGGGAATATGAAAACAAAGCTCTCCTAGACTGCCCTGGCTTTGTCTTCCTTGAAATACTGTGGCATTTTGAGTGGAGGTTGGATCCAGGGATCCTTTCCATCCTCTATGATTCTGTGATTAGAGCTGTTACATGGGAAGACAAGGTGGAATTATTACACAGCTAGATAAAATAGTCAGAAGGTGGGATAATTAATGTGCAAAAGTATTATAGGGCTTAGGCTTGGGGCATTAATGAAGATATGAGATGTTGACCACGCTGACTTCCAGACTCCACAAAACAAGAAATTAAAAACAAGCTGTCTGGAGTGAGGAGAAGAGATACTTTTTTTCTTTGACTTTGGGAGAATTAGGAGGAAGACATTTTTCTTTTCTTATGCAGATTTCCTTCTGCATAAAAAACACTGCAGATTACCAGCTAGCTTAGGTACATATATAGTTTAACAATCAAAAATGAGGAACTGGGACTGACTTTGTTCTTACGTAGAGAAGAAGCTGATTGCAATGTCTTTTCCAAGTCAGCCTTCTTGCAGTTTACTGGATGTAGGAAGTGCTGGGCATCTGAAATATGAAAGGATCTCCTTTGGGTTNATTGCTGCTCCTGCTGTGCACACAATTGTCATTGTTCATGCCACTGAGAAATGTGGTTGTGCATCAAGCTGGAAGAATATCCATCTACTGCTGACTGAAGGGCATTGACTTGGCACAGAGAATTTGGGCTGAAGTCCTCTCCACCCCTGCAGGTTGTATGGGGGCAGCTATAAGGCCTTCATGTGCCCCAGGTTTGTGCTGCTCTGTACCTGTCAAAACAGAGAGAGGGTTCCTGGTGCATCCCATGATAACTGGATGACATTTGGGGATGTTTATGTTGGCCATTTCAACACAATTTTGATATAGTTTGATATACAGTTCTTATAAATCATTTCATAACAACACCTATGGCCCAGGTTGGTGTTAGATCTTTCACTTTAAGGAACCATCTGCTATAATCTTCAAATAAACTAGAACTAATTTAACAAGGTAAATAATCCTTGTCAAGGGAGCCTTCTCCATAAAATATGCAACCTGTGATCCTCAGAAACTCTACACAACCACTTCTGTTTATTTTCTGCTTAGCCCAGGTCTAGTTTGAATTAAACAGACCAGATTACTCACTGCATTACCTAACCCTCTGTATTGTTTGTAAAGGCTTGCAATCTGTGTTTAGTGAAAACTGCAGAGGAGTAGAGCAAGTCTGTAACTGAATAAAGGAGACAAATGATAGAATTCTGTCTCTCGCTGAACATCAACAGTCCTTGGGTTTCTTTCTTTTTTTTTTTTTTGGTTCACTGGTTCAGTTTAATTTTTTTGGGTCAGTTTTTTGTTGGCTTTGGTTTTTTGGTTTCTGGGGTTTTTTTAAAGGCTGCTTTCCATGGAGGAATTTTAGAATTTGCTCAGACTATTTGTTCTAGTAAGGAAGTTTTCCATAGAGTCTGATGATGCATAACTGGAGCTGTTTCTATATATAGTACTGCAGGATGGAAAGCAGAGGATCTTTTTGCTGTGGATGGGAACAGAAGGTCTCATTTCCTCAGAGAACAGCCTGCATTTCAGCTATTTCCATTGTAATGTGGGCAACACTACACACAGTAGCACTGTGGCCCAGTTTTTTTGAGCTGGACATGAACATAGATCACCTCACAGTGTGCTATCACAACTGTGTCCTTGTGCTCAGACTGCTTGGTCTATCAACCCAAAACCCTGGAATTGTTAGCGCCAGCAAAGACAATAGGGTGGAAATAAAGTGCGAAAAATCAAACCATTTTAGAGCACCGTGTCTGGCAAACAAAAACAGGGTTTGAGTGGGAGATGGGAAAATCTTGGTAACATTCCTGAGCTCATTTTCACCCTTGTTCAACTCTTTAACTCATGTAGACTCTTTCTCTTCCTCCAAACAGTGGGAGAGAACTCTTTAGAACATCTTAGATCTGTAGTTACAAGTGAAGGAAGACTTTTTCAGCAGGGCAGCTGTGTTTCTTGGCAGTGTAAAATATTTACACCCGCCATGTAACAAGAAACCAGTGTTTTGTCCTCTGGTGTATGGAAAACTCTTAAGTTTTGAAAATAAGCGATGGAAACATGATCACGGCCAGCATGATTTTAAAAGCCATTAAATAAACTAATAAATTTCTTGCAATTTCGGGTGTTTGTGCAAGTAACATTGCACTGGTTTAATTGTTATGTGCAGGTCCTTTTCCCACCACCTGGGCTGGGTTGTATCTATTCACTCTCTTTTTGTGCTGTTCAGTTTATTTTCCACCATAGCTCGTCTTTTTGACTGCTCCCCATATTCCTGTCCAGGTGTGGAATGTGTCTGTCAGAGTCCAAAGGCTTTGGCTTACCTGGAGTAAACAAGTGCCCACAACAGGGTGGTTATTGCCCAAAGCAATACTTCCCAAACCAGTGCAGATTGTGGGAGCATCCAGTTGTTGCTGCCTGCTCAGTGCTGGGATCTCTGCTCCAGAAATATCTGGGAAAAGGTGAGAAGGTGAGACACCGGATATGTGTGTGAGGAAGCTGTTCCTGCCTCATGCCTTTCCCAGGGGTGTAGATATATGCATATATACCATATATAGTGTGCAGTCATGTCCCTGTACTGCTCAGCATTACCAAATTACTCCAATCAGTTGCAGGGGTTTTTTAATCAAAACTTCAGGCTATAAAAGCCAGGTTCTGGAGCAGCTTCCTATGTGATCCAGCAGCTTTCTGTGTGATCCAGCAGCTTTCTGTGTGATCCAACAGCTTCCTGTGTGATCCAGGTGTGCTGCCTACTAGAGCCATAAGCTGTGGAAGGAAGTTAGGGCAGTAAATTGCTTCCATCTCAGTGTTTATCCCATGTGTAGGATAAGTCCAGTGCCTTCACAAAACAAGTGTGGCAGATGTGTCTCCCACAGCTGCTCTCCAGAACGAAACACAGCAGCTTTCTCTTTATTTTCTGTTTTCAGGTTGTACTTTATCTCATAAGAGTGAAACCATCCTTAAGAACAAATAGTCTTAAACTGCAAATCCAACTATTCTCCACAGCACAATGAGCTGTTAAAGGTCAGACTGGCTCTTTACAGCTTGGGCCCAATTATGCATTACAAACAAGCAAGAGGATAACGTGCTTTTATCCTGAGTAAGGTACTGGTTAGATCAAGATCATAGCAGAGAGCTGTGACAGCTTTGAAGGGCTGCCTGTAAGTCATCTGCTGCTGGAGGTGACTCAGAGAGTGTGTCCCCAGAGAAGGCTCAAGTTGCAGTTTAAAGCAGTGATTTCCAACACCAAACAGGAGATACGTGACAGATCAGAGTCCAAACCAAGCTCTGCCTTTATATTGGGCTCTGCTGGCAGCTGATGTGGGGAAGGGGAGATTCAGGGTGGTGGGGAGGAGAAGGTGAAGTGATGAAATGCTCTGTGTGATCAGTTGGGAGTGAAAAATGATAAAAAACTCTTTTTTTGTTTTTTTCCCAAGGTCTGTTCTTGTCTTGCTCTGTGGCCTCAGGCAGGTTAGTTGTACACCCCTCTATACAAATCCTGCAAGACTGCAGGGTGTAATGCCCCTGATTGTTCTCAACTACTGTAGCAACATGCTTTCTAACAACACAGGGAGGAAAAGTAACAGCACTGTTGTTACAGGTTCCCCTGAAACCACCTTTTTATTCCCATCCTGCAGAAGGACCCCCCTTGCCTTAGGCACCTCCTTTCAGAGCTGGTGTACCTGCCAAGCAGGAGTTGCATGGAATAAAACTGATTCCTGTGGCTTGAGGTGCATCAAAAAACCACTTTGCACTCAAAAGCAGCCACAAATCTGGCAGGAGCATGAGGCCACCACCAAAACTGGGTGTTACACGATACCTTATTCCACTTGGGAAGAGCTGGCTGTTTCTATGGCTACTGCTGCCTTTCTCTCCAACACACCAACCATTGGTTCTGATGAGATCATATTGTATTACAGAAAAAAAAATCACTCACATACTGCTTTACACTGCAGCATTTGTTGAGCTACTATGTATCTGACTTCCTATAATAAAGACATTTTCCATTTAATGTATTCTTATAAACGGGTAGGATTTCCCTCATCTCTGATTTATAAATGCATCCATTTTGGCCTCGAAAATCCTGGTTCTGGTTTCCATGACAACAGGCTTGATTTTTGAGGCTATTTCTTCCCCTTACTTCATCTTGGGTGGGAAGAGTTTCTGTCCCCTTCCAGTAGCAGTGCAATGGGCAAGCAAAATGGTTGCCTTGAAGGAGAATGAGCAGACCTGAAACCAGAAACTTCAGCCAGCTTTTTTAAACACAGGTGAGAAATGCATGAGAAGAATGGCACCACAAACCTAGCACAGGCTGGAGTCAGATTTTTTGTACACAGAAAGTCAAATGCACATATAATCCCAGGAAATTTTAGTCATGTACCCCCCTGTCAGGTATTTAACAAACTGATCTGGTAGCCCTGAATAGCACTGTGTTGGCACATGACAAAATAATCAGAGGATCTCGCCAGTCTGTTCATATTGTAACCCTGTAGATTAATTAGTACTGAATGCACTTTATTATTTGAAATACACTCTCACTGTCTCTATTTTTTCCCTCAGTACATCCCATCTACAGTACTGGACTGCCAGGACTGTTTCTTTCATAGATCATTCACAGCTAAACCATATTCTTTCAATGTGGAACAGTGCATTTGAGACTCTGGGAACTAAAGGCACCATAAATAATCCATAACTGCTTTGCAAGGATCTTTCTAGTGGGTTTTTTCACTTTTAACATTTCCAGGAAAAATGAAGAGAGATAGCTGCTGGTACTCCATGGCTGAAGTGGTTTAGCAATTGCTGTTCTAAAATGATAAAAAGGTGGTTTGTGCAAACTCCTCAGAAAATCCCTGGAGAGGGCCTTTGTTCCTTTTTCCTGCAGAGAAGAAACACAACTTACCTACACCCTTCTGGGTAATAAGTACCTTCAAATGTGCCATCCACTGAGGTTGCAGACGAAATGTCTCTCTTTGGCTTGTCATAGAGTTTTCTTACTTTCTGTGAGTGAAAGATATCATGGAACCACAGTGTCTAAGGTATCATTGCATTATGGCATTATAATCTCATTTGCATTTGAGCTGGGAGCAGCCTGATAAAGCTGTTCCTTAAACTAGTACAGGATTGCTCCCAGTGTTTAATCCGAATGCTGGAGCTGCCAGCCCATCTTTTGGAGCAGAAGATTCAGGTGTAGGTCAGGTATTCTGCACTAAGACAGAAGGCAGGAGTACCTCATTTAGGCATGTTTTATCCACACTGTTGTAACCTGCCAGTAATTTACGTTAGAGGCTGGCCTGTGACCCCCAAACAAAGCACAGTCCCCACCTGTGCAGCCCCTGACACATCTCAGGGTAGAATGAGATTATCACCGAAAGCCAAGCACAGTTCAGAGTGAATCAATATCAGGCACAACACAAAAGTGATTCAGTGATTGCCTTAAATAACCACAGGTTTTCCCTTCTGTCATGACTAAACCATCCTGCCCTAACAGCCAGTCCCTTGGGGACAATGAAGTCACAGCAGCACAATTTCAGCTGTGCAGCCAACTAGAGACAATATGAGCACCCTTGTCTTCTCTGCCCTACCATGGCATGGAGGGGATTAAAAAGTGAGTCACTGGCTGGAAAAAGTACTGATCCTGTGGCAGTAGGATGAGTCTTAAAAAAGCTCTTGCATTCTGTAAAGGTTAATTATAAGAGTGGTGAAGCAGGAAAACACATCTGAAAACAGTGAAACCTGTGCATTGTGTACTGTTAACTTCTCAGATATCAACGTTTCCTTCTCTAAAATGCTCTCACACTTAAAACACTTCAGTGGATTTATAACCCAGGACAATGAAAAAAAATACAATTTTTACTTGTTTGGGTTTGTCCTCATTTCATGTGATATTGTACCACACAAGAGTATTGTGTTGAAATCCTAAATGTTGTTTGTAGTACTGCCTGAAAGTTCCTCCAAATAGTTAATTGATTCCTGCTTTTCATGTAGCCCAGAGCAAGTTTAGAGGAAATAAATGTAACATGAGTTAGTCATCCTTAAATAATCTCAAAGCAGGGAGCCCTACATTAACAGCAGGCTGGTAATAAGCTGTGTAGTGCTATCTCCAGTGAAGCTTTGCCCATGACTTCGAATAAATTTACGAGCTGTCATTTATTTGTTTGTTTGCTTTTTCTCAGCAGGAGAATTTACTGTCTGCTTGCTGAAGTATCAATTATTCTTGTAAAATTGAATAGTACTGTCTTAGGATTATGCACATCGAGGCTAACGTAATGTGAGACATGATGAAAATTAATAAGACACCAACTCTGTTAAGACACCTGTGCTAGGTACTTTTTTCGTGCTAGAGATAAATCTTATGTTAGAGGAACAGCAAAGAGAGGGGTTACAAAGAGCCAGCAGACTTGATCTAGCCCTGTAAGTTTTTGTTTTTGCAGGCTTCTGCTGTCAGACCATCTGCAGCTGCTGCTGGCCAGGCATTGATCTGACCTCTGAGGGACAGAAATCCATTCTGTTCCAGGGCTGATCATTCAAGTCTTTTTACTCTAGTGTTTAAATTGGATTTTACTCAATTTTATTTAAATCCACTATATCAACACTTAATGAACAGAAGTCCTCCCATTCTGCTCTGTGGCATCCCATTGTATACCACCACTTTAGTCTTTTTTTGTGTCTTATACATATTCATTTCCCTTAATCTTTCATGCTAATGTGTGTTTCCCTTTCCCATTCTTTTTCTCTGCTCGATTATCATTAAATGCCCGGATGAGACTTAAATGTCAGAAAAGCCCTGAGAAATGCCACAGAAATGCCACATACCGGAGGAGAACACAATAGTTTATGTTTCAAAACCCCTGAGCATGGTAATATCTGCTTTCCAGGCTGGGGGGCTGTTCTGGCCACTCCTCAGAAAAAACCAGATCCCTTGAGAGAAATAGATTTCTGTTGCTGATGGTGTTTTGATTTTGAGCTTTGATACTGAAATTGGAGTTTCAGAAATGAATCCTGTCTTCTCTCTAGTTCATCTCTGCCCTGACATGATAATGGGTCATTGGAACAATCAGCTGGCTTCATTAATTATTAATCCTAACACATGGCAAAAGCAATCTGGAGATTCACTGGATGTGTGGGGGTCTGTTGATGGAAATGTAAAGGGGGCAATTAACAGTCTGAAAAAGCCAAAGAGGAGGGGGAATCAGAAGGCTTAGGTATAGCTGGAAGAATAAAAAAATACTTTATTTTGCAGTCAGATGCATATCTTAAGTTACATTAAAGTGAAAATTCCTACAGCAGGGCATGAAGTTCACATGAGGATTGGGTTACTTGGCTGAACTGTGGTCTATTAAAATATGCATTTAGAGACCTTTACAAGAATTCTGATACTTGCTGAATGCATAGAAAAAGCTGTGAGCTGTTCACTCTTAGGGAACTGGATACCCAGACAAACAAGAATATAACTCTCATCCATGTATTTTAGTAACTTTATTGTGTATTCACACTGAGGGAAGAAAACAGAAATCTTGAGACCATGGAATAAGAGCATAACATGACTGCTGTGTGAAGGGGACTTTTTATCTACACAACCTGGGCAGAATAATGGACATTGAGACTTATTGCCACTGTAGAAAGGGAACTGTATGGATTTGCCCCAAAGGGTCACACAACAGGAGGGTTATTCCTGTGGTCTCTCTCTCTGTTTGCTGCACAGACACTGTACCACAACAGGAGCTCATGCTCTGGGGTTTCAAAATGGCTGTAAAAATCAAGGGCAGAAGGAGCTCTCCATACATTTTCTGCCTCCCTAAAGCAAAAGACTGCACAGATGAGGTTTGTGCACAATAGCATCTTATTTGAATATCTTAAAGAACAGAGAGTGGTGTGTTCCAAACCCCCACCCTGGTCTGTGATGCATTGCCAAGGTCTGCTGGTCTCCTGGATGTTGTCTGGATTCAGCTTCCAGGTGAGCTTTCCCTCCCCATGGCCCCAGTGACATCAGAGCCACCTGTGACAGCTCCAGATAGGCCATCCCAGGTTTTTCAGCACTAGCCAACCCCAGTGGCAGTGGAAGGCAAGCCTGGAAAGGTGAACAACCACCCCTCAGCCCAAACTGCTGAGGAAGGTTGGCAAACCACGAAGGGCTTTCTCTTGCTTAGTCTGCCACAGCTCACACAATGCCACAGATTAATGGAGCTCCAGACTGTCTAATGGAGTTTTTCCCACAGAGCAAAATATTAACCAAGTCAATTGATTGCATTTTCATTTCTTAAGGGAGGTGCAGCCCACACATCCCATTGTGTCTGAGCACAAAGACAGTCTGCTGAAGCAACCCTGTGTTATCTCACGGGTGCTTTGTGCTGCATCTTGCTTCTGATGTAAAAGGAAATGGAAATTCTTGCTCA